TTCTGTGAGCCCAGCTTTTGGTTTTCTTTACTGAGACACTGTTTAAGTTGGGGTGGCTGAAAAAGGCTCCCTGAGCTGGCCACATGTGTTTTAATTAGGGATGTGTAAAATTCCAGCCATCAACTGTTCCAGGAGTCTGGATAGACTGCATGTTACAGCCAATAAATGATCTAAGGCATATTATGTGGATTTAGGGATGGTATTTGGGATGAAATGATGGAGAGTTAGAATGGTCTCTCAGCAAAGCTGTGTGCTGTTTACTGTAGGAATTAGCATGCCTGATTAGTACAGCTCTGAGAAGCAGTGAAAATGTCTAAAAAAATTCAGCAATTGCCTCAGTACCCTAAATAGTCTTATGTCAGCAATTAGCAGTAACGGTCTTTCATTAATCCGTCAGATTTCTGATGCTGCACATCCTAATGCAGGAGATAATAGAGAATCCTCAGGATTAGCCACTGATGCATCACACCATGCAATGTCATTATAGCAGCAGTGTTGAGACAGCACATTGAAGCAGAAAAACGGTAGAACAGTAATTCTCTGAAAGCAGGAATGTTTTCCTTTTCTTCATTCAATTCAGAGCGCCATGTACAATGAGCCATGACTACGCAGCAGTCTGTATCACGAACTCTTTGGAGGTGTGTAAGTCGGCTTTTTAGTTCTGTTAGTGAGATGTTGCAAAAATAAGAGAGTCCAAGGAAAGAAACATATTGCTGCTTAATTTAAAGGGGTTCAGATTTTGCAACGATTCCTTGATGCAATGGGCTCTCTTTCATGTATTCTGTGGTTGTGTTATCTAATCTTAGGAGGAGTCACCATGTTTTTGCTCTTCCTCAAATTCATCTTTGGATGACTGTGTCTCAGAATTGTTTAGCAAATATTTCACATCCTTTCTGGTTTCTTCAGGTCCTCAAATGTCTTCCCTTCCCCTTATTCCCGGCAGGGAGCCTTGCCTTGTACTTGACTTCCATGTTATTAGCATCATGTGAACTCTCCCACCTTCCCTTTACTCCTCGTAGAATCCCCATATTGTCACCTGTGTGTATAGTGTTTGGTCGTTGCACTTCAACAGATCTAATTTCAAATCTGACCTGCTCCTTCTATCTGGCAGAGTGGCCAGGCACTACTCACTTGGAACCTTTGATTCCCCCCTTTCTTTCCAAATGCTCCTCCTTCGTCTTCCCGGGGGTAATGACAGCATATTTTGTCTAGTTCTCAAGCTGAGAAACTTGGAGTTATCCTGATTGCTGTTTCTCTTATGCCCACATTCAACCAGTCAGCAAATCCTGTTGATTCTACCTTCAGAATATTTCCAGCCACCATCCCAGCCCTCCTGCAGGTCTTTGCTGGCATGATTCTTCCCTAGGACTTTCCCTCTTTCCACATTGCCCCATGATGGTCTCCTCTGATCTTCCAAAATATGAATCTGATCACATAGCCTCCAGTGTCTTCCATTTTCACCTGGGAAAACACAGAATCTTTTTCAAGACCCGCTGGGTGTGGTGTGATCTGCTCCCAGCACTTCTCTGTGTTCATCTCCTACAGCTTCATCCCTTCTCCTGCCGTGGGCCCTGATGCTCCTAAAACACACAAGCATATGTCCTCCTTCTAGCTCCTTTCTGGTTTTTCTTGTTGTTGTTTTTGTTTTCGTTGTCTGTATCCCCCATTAGAATGTTCATTCCAAAAAGAACAGGATTTTTTTTCTTTTCCCATTTTGCTTACTGCCATCTCCAGCCTCTTGGTTTCCATTGTCCTGTTGCCTCTCTTCAGTTTGAGAAATGCAGACCTATAGAATGAAGTTCAGGCTCTTTATCATGGTATTTGGTCTTCTCCACAATGCCCAGTTCCCTGTCTTTAGACCATTACTGTTTGATACTCACAGAAACCCTAGCTGCACCCAGCTATACTATGGCTATGTCTTTGTTCCCATAGCTGTGAAGGTAGCACATGCTGAAAAACTCTTTCCTCCTTTTTACTTACTTGTTAAAGGTCTATTCCTTATCTTTAATGCACAAATGGATTTCCACCCGTAGAAAAATATTTTAGATTTCTCCCAGTAAACACTTTGCTGCCACTTGTATAGCATTATCACATTTGACCTTTAAGTTATTTGTGAACATCTTTCTCTTTTGTTATTCTCTTAAAAACCTTGATGATGGATTTCTTTTCATTTCAACTCTATTATTGCATCCTTAGTTATCACCTTTTACACTGTGTTTACCCAACTTATTTATGAATAGAAACAGCTCTAAGTTCATATTTCAAATGATCTCAATTAGTGTAGAAAGCTTTTATTATTTCCTCTTGTATGAATTATTTACATGAACAAGAAATAACATGCATATGACAACAAATTAGGGTATGTTATTTTCATATTAAATGTCCCTAAGATGATAAGGAATGAATTATTAATGTATCACACAGGCATATCTTTTATTTCTTTTTTTTTTTCTTCAAATGTAAAAACAATAGGCTTTCAGGGAAAATGATTATTTTTATTTAGAAATCACTAGTTAAAAAGAAAAAACTTAAAATTTGCATTGTGCCCCCCAACATTATGCCACATACTTGGAATGTATATTTCATGTATGTTGGAGTTTAAAATATTTTTCCAGCAGTATAGGAAAACAGAAAAAAATGGACTTATGTTTTTTGTTTAATTGACATGTATTTTATATTTTTATAGTCAAAATGCTTTTGATTATAATAGCTAAGGCAATTTTATAATGCAGGGCCCAAGTCTCATTTCCTTTCTGTCCTTTCACCAGATTAATTGATTTAATGCACTCATATTTTCTATAAAGTGCTTAGCATAGTTCTATGTGCTTAATAGGTAGTTAGCACCCAATAAACGTCAGCTTCTATTATTCAGAAAGAAGGGACCTTCTCTTTTCAGAGTCCTTCTTGGCTTGTCATTCATCATATTATTGCCTTGTATTATTTTTATACATCTTTTCTAGCTAAGTGTCCTCTAATATTGTAGAGAATATTGTACATTGTAAGGGATTGATAAATTATTTATCCACTGAATAAATAATGAACTTGTGAACAGGCTTTGAAAATTTAAGTAGCTTTGAAATTCCTTAATACTGAGCCCAAACATGGCGGAAACTTCTGAGGACAGACAAGTTAATGCCATAAATAATCCCAGAAAAGCCACTGGACACAGAACGAGTCTCGGGGGATAAACCAGAAGTCACATTTGCCTTCTACAGCTTACTTGCTGAGGCAGTTCTACTAAATTAACAGGGGATGTATTAGCATGTTCAGAGACCTCTAAGGTACCATAAAACCCATAGAATGCCTACTTCTACTACATTTGATAGAGTTACCTATTTGGTTAAGATTAGTTACTCAGTTTATTTATGGTAAATGACTTATTTGGCCGTTTGTTTGGGAAAGGTAGGAAGAGTATTGGAGAGAATGAGAGACTGCAGGGCAGACAACAGCTTCTATTTTCTGACTGTGCACTCACATGAGAGAAAGAGAGCCCTTCAAAAAGCATTTGCTTGGGTGCTTCACGTGGAAGATGTGAGCTCCTGAACTCTGGGAGCTGGCACTGGGCTGGATCACGTCCTTTAAAGTCAACCCATTAACCGTTGCAATGCTTGGAATCTAGTAGGCATTCAAGGAATACTTCGATGGATAGATGACAAACTGGAAGTGACAATGTTCCAGGTGGAGGAGATAGCTCGCTTTTTGTGGATGGCTCAGTTGCAGGCCTCCATTTGGTTCTTCCAAGGCCCAGTGTTTTGCCTGATAGTTAAGCCATTTTCAGATCTATGAATGCATAGGTAATATAACCATTACAATATCGTTGTTCTATTTCATTTACTTCTAAGTAAAACCAGTCTTCCTTGTCATGATTATATGAATTGTATTAATTCCCACAATGATTCAAAAATCCTGTGTGTGTCTGAATTGCATGGCCCTCCATTGGACAATAAGTGGGGAGAAAATGTAAGCAAGATGGACTTCTTGGAAAAGCCTACAGCCGAAGTGGGAGATGAGATGTGCTTACATCATGGCCAATACAGGACATAGGAGGTGCTACATAGTAAAGGACTTCAGAGAAGGGAAATAGTCTGTATAGTCTGGAGGATCCGAGAGCACTTCAGAGAAGAAGTTGCATTTTAAGCAAGACCTTGAAGGAGATGTTGGATTTAAAGCAAAGAACTGGGTTGGAGATTTAGAGTGAGGACATTGAAGAGAAAGCAACAGGCATAGTAATTGGTAACTTTACAGTTATATAGCTGAATTTATGTTAATTAGAAGTGTAATTCAGGCTGAGTGCAATGGCTCACTCCTGTAATCTCAGAATTTTGGGAGGCCTAGGCAGGAAGATCACATGAGGCCAGGAGTTTGAAACCAGCTTGACCAACGGGGTGAAACCCAGCTCTACAAAAATATAAAAATTATCCAGGCATGGTGGTGCACGTCTGTAATCCCAGCTATTAGGGAAGGTGAGGCACAAGACTCTCTGGAACCCAGGAGGTGGAAGTTGTAGTGAACTGAGATTGCACCACGGCACTTTAGCCTGGGTGACAGAGTGAGACCCTGACTTAAAAAAAAAAGGAAAAAAAGTGTAATTCATTTGCACATGTGTATTTGGCTAAAATGCTGTATCTGTCAAGTTTAAGATAAATTTTATTTTTCTTTATATTGTATAGGACATACTTTACAATAAAATTTTGTTTGGTCATGTTTTTCTTTTTTGTTTATAGTTTTGTGTCTTTAAAGCATTAGGGTTCTTCATACTCAAGATAAAACAAGGAAGTCATAATTGCATATTGTGGTATTCTTTGAAGTTATATTGGACAGCCTCCACAGTAGAAAAGGTCAAGTTCATTTCCTTGTGTACCCACTGCCTCTTACCCACCAGCATTGGGGCCACCTCATTCATTTTTTTGCTCATTCAATAAATATTTATTAGGCTTCTACTGTGTGCCAGAAAGTATCTAGTGTCTTTAAATTGTGTTTGCATGTCTCATGGTATGTTTTATATTCTTTTTCTTTCTCCTACTCTATGAACATTTCTTTGGGGATATAGTAGGTTCTTGGGAAAAGTTTTCAATTAGCAATAATCGCGCCTCGGCTAAACCTCATTGGCTACGATACTGCCACTGCGCAAAGCTAGTAGGTTCTTAATAATCATCCAATTAATGCACATTGAAAAATCTCAGAAAGGAATTCAGACATGAATAAGCAGGATGGATTTGTTCAAAGTTCCACTGCAGTTTTGGACTTGAGTACAAATATTGAGTACTGTGTTTCATAGGACTTCATTAGAACAGAATGCATTTACTACTTTTGAAATTTTTCTGGTGCTTTTCCTTAATGTAATAAATAATCCCACACACGAATCACGTCACTTCAAAAATCTACCTTTATATTTGGACTAACCTTACCTAATGGGGTTTTGGTATTAATCTGAGCATGAAGAACTATTCTTAGCTTTTCCAGGAAACAGGTATTTGAAGTTCTATATACTTTTATTAATTCTAACATTTCTTTAGGCCATTTCAGCTCTTATATGAATTGAGGGGGAATGAAAAACCATTCAGTCAACCAAACAGAAAACCTAAAGACGAATTAGTTCAACACTTACAGAGTATATGTCCCTTCTACTCTTCCCTAAATACTGAGATACTCACATTTCCTAGAAAGACCCAGCAAAGCCATATTAGTAGAAAGTAGTCCAGAATAAAGTATCTGAGAAAGCATTATATCTGTAAGAGGAGAGTGTTTTACAGAAGATGAAGACTAATAATTTCAAATTCATGTGATAAATCCAGTTTGTTTCATTTTTAAATTTATGTTTCCTAATAAAGTAATTTATTCTAGCGCTCAAGGTTTTATAAATGGAGAAAGACAGTGCATATGATTAAGATTTCAGACTCTGTCATAAAAAGAATTCTCCATGTTTCTGCCTGCCCTGTGTTGCATAAATTGCTCTGTGATTTATAATCCTTAGACATATTTATCTAATGACATGTGTTTGAAAGCATCCACATTTTGTGTCTACACTAGTCTTTTAATGAATTCTAAGTTCATTTTTAATGGTTGAAACTGTTTTATAGACCATCTTCTGAGGCAAAATCATGACGTACTACATCACAATATTGAGTTCTTCAAATTAGAATTATAGTTTTAGTGCATTTGTTATTTAAGTATTATTAGGTTAGTTCTTATGCTAATTTTAGACTTATTAACAGATAGGCTGGAGCCTGCCAGTTAATACTTTTTACTCTTGATTCAGCAATAACTTGGGTAGTCAGAAATGCAGATGCATTTTTTATGGTCTTTTAGAAAATTATTTTCTTTTGATTTAATTACTTGGTGCAGGACATATTTCATCACAACACTTCTAAATCCAATTAAATATTTTTCTGCAGGCAATAATTATTCTAAACTCTTTTCCTCACAGTGGAAAAGTTGGTCATCTTAAATAATTTTAACCATGTTTGTTTCTCCAAACTGTAGTGTTTTACCTTGTAAATTTTCTTGTTTTCCAGGTGGTGAATTTAAACTAGAGATCTCATTTCCATTTTTCAGCATTTTCTTCAATTTGATTGACTTGTACTATTCTACATGCTTTTATGTTCATATTCCACATGCTGCTTACATAAATATGGTGAGGTGAGCAAGCAGATATTATCCTGATATTGTAGAGCACATGATTTCTTGCTGTATTTTCATTGGCTTTTTTCCAGTGAGCAAATACAGTATTTTTTACAATAGTTTTTACTTCTAGTTAGAATATAACTGTACTTGAAAACTTACCCTAAGAGTATTGCCACATCTTACCAAGTAGATTACTAAAGAAAGAAACAGCCTTGTTATCATGTTTTATTTTACTTGTAACAAATTCCATTTTCTAAGTCATTCAAAGGAAGTGCATAACTAGTCTTTTCTTTTCCAAATAACTTAATTTGGTAGGGGCTTTAGGGGTAGAGATGGTCTGTAATCAAAAATAAATGGTAGAATGGAAGGGTGATTGGCAGTGACAGATACTGAGCAGTGAGGGGGAAATCATACTTAAATGAGTTTCCTGTATCTTAGTATGTTAATAAAATATTATATAATTTATTATGCTGATGATTAGTGTTTTTGGTTTCTTTCCTGTTTCAGTACAGATAGGCAGAACTTGCTACAGAAAGAAACTTCCAGTGTCCAATTGAATTAGCTAATTTTATATATATATATATATATATATATATATATATATATATGTATATATGTAATTCCAAAGTATCTGATAGTTATATAATTTGAAACAAATAAGTATATGAAAGGAGCTTTAAAGATCATCTTACTGCAGTTTTATGATAATGAGGAAAATGAGGTTTGAGGAAGTTTATTTTTCACAGGTTTTGGTTGCAAGTGTCAGGGTCCCCAACTGAAACCAGTTTAAGTAAACTTAAACATATATATGTGACTGGGAAATCGAGGAGTGGATTTGGAGTCAGAAGTGCAGGAGCCAATGGGTGTGATTAGGGGTTGGGTATTACAGCTGTAGGTCATATCCTTATTCTTAAGGATGTGATAGGGAAACAGGTGATTGGCAGCTCCACTAGAACCATGGGGAAAGGTAGGAGCCAGTCTCAGAAAAAGGAAATAAACTCACCTAATTTAGCAGAAAAATTGCTGCTGGAATCTGGCTTTTAGATTCCCAAGTTAATCCCGTCTACCTCAGAACCTTAGTACTTATTAGGATAGTTAGATTAATGAAGAGCGTGCTTAACTCTTACTTGAGAAGATTGTCTATTTAGTTCTCACTTTAGAGCACCCTGAAATTGGGGTTCTAAAACCTTGTCATAAAGCCTGTAGCTACAGTCTTTTGGAAGTTAGAGTTTATAAAACAAATTCATTGTTGGTGACATGGTAAATGCAGATGAGAATAAAGCACAAATATGCTAAAAATTTAGAATTAAGAAAATGATAATGGAAATAACTCCTGAAAACGTATAAACTGTGATCTGTTCAACATGCAGGTCTTTTCAACTTTCTCTTTGTCCCAGAGCTAAAACTTTTTTCAGGGCCTGGATGTGTGTGCTACTTGGAGCTGCTTAAAGGTTCTCACACATTCCAGTCAACCTGTATCTTCTTCTTCAGGGGACCTTGTCATCTCAGCCAGTAGATTTAATATGTCTTTAATATTAAATATGTTCAGTAAGTATATATGTATGTACACGTGTGTATTTAAGTTTTACATTTGATTTTTCCTAAGTATCCTTAGTGAATTGTTAGAAATGTGATCAGAAATACCCATAATATTAAGAAGAGGAGAGAGGGAGACAGAAAAAGACTTAGTTAATTCAGAAACTGTGTTAATATATCAAGATATGATTGCTAATACATACTAACAGAATGTTTAAGCTCTCTCACAAAGAAATACACATCTTCTAGATAATAAGTAACACAAATGTATGTATCTTAATCATATCCATATGTAAAACTAGGGTGGGTGGCATGAATCCTAAGAAGTGGGCAGTTGCCCAAAGCTATACTTCTGTCTCCGATGGATAACTGCAATCACTAACCTTTCTTAAAGAATTTCATACGATACTGAAAACATAGTGATTAATCAAAGGTACTTTTAAAATGGAAGACTTTTATTTATAACCATTAACTTGTTATGTTCAGAGAAAGAAGCAGTAAAGAATAGGTGAAACATTTATTGTATACTTCATTTGGGTCCAGCATTATGCTTTACATACTTAATTTTCTAATTAATTTTCCCTTGCATCTGTGAAGTGGGTGCTATTGAAAATGTGAATCCACCTTAAAGATGAGGAAACTGAGGCCCAGAGAGGTTAAGTAAATGATCTAAGGCGAATTCAGGTCAGAATTTGTGCTCTTGAGTGCTGTGAGGGATTTGTTTAGGAGCACTGTCTGGTTATAAATGGCAGAGCAGACAATGGACCTTTGAACCACTCTGTGTTCTACCTGCTTCCATGGCAGACCTTGTCCTGAATATTTCAGGATTGATCAAGCAAGTAACAAAACTAGGCTATTGACTCATGGTTCTGTAAAGGAAAGAAAATTGAATATTTCTGAGAAAAACTGTACAAAAATAGAGAGTGCCCTTAAATTCTGTCAACTCGTAAGAAGTGTTTTAGGTAAGAAGAGTTTCTAGTTTTTTTTCCCTGGGAAATTCTCTACAGCATTGGACCCTGGGAGGAACAGAATATACATTTACCTCCTTCCAGAGAACTATTTGTTCGCTTTTAGAGACAAGATTTGGTCTTAAAAGTTGGGCAGACTTCACATCTAATTATTCTACTTTGTTACAATTTCCTACACTAATCCTAAACCCCATGGAGGTTTCATTACATTGGTTGGTGGCATTAGCCTATCAACAGCTGGATGAGACAGAAGTTAGAAAATGGACTTTTTAAGGTCAGGAAGCTGTGCAACCAGAAGAACCAATTTGTCTATTTAAATCATCTGGGGAATGTAAAAAATTATTCCACAATGTGGGAAATGAAAGACTGCCTAAAGCTACTGCGTTTTAGTTTTTATTTTCTTTTTGTTATTCCTCTTTGTACTTCCTCTTTCCTAGCAGCATTATGTGTGGATTATAGAAAGCGTACATGTTGACTTTGTTATGTGGTTATTTGGTGTGGTTGTGTTAATGTTTATTGTGAATACTGTGAGTGTTTTTCACCCTTCTGGCTTAATTACCTGTGTCCACATCAACCTGAATGTATTTGAGAAGTAAAGGGGCCCAAGACTTCAGTAAGAGACTTAACTAAAAAAAAAAAAAAAGAATTTATCTTTGTATTGTTTATCTTTTAATACTGTGGCATTAATACAGTTTCTCTATTTAGGGAGATAGTATATGGGAAGGTGAACTTCATCTGCAGCTTTCATAAAACGTATTTCTTCACAATACTTAGGAATATATTTAGTATACTATTTTATAGAATTTAAATATTGTCTTATTCTCTTAAAAAGGATATTCCTTATGCTCTGGTGCAGGAACGAAGATGTAAGATTATTTTATGAAACCATGAGATGATGATGTTCATGACTGAAAACACATGTCCTCCAGTGGGTATTGGCTGGGCACTCACTCTCTTTCAATTACTTTTACTTTGTTTTTCCCTAGTATAATCCTTTATAACACAAA